CGTAGGACAGAGGGCACAGAACACAGAACACTTGCCGTAGGACAGAGGGCATAGACCAAAGAACACTTGCCATAGGACAGAGGGCATAGACCAAAGAACACTTGCCATAGGACAGAGGGCATAGACCACAGAACACTTGCCGTAGGACAGAGGGCATAGACCAAAGAACACTTGCCATAGGACAGAGGGCATAGACCAAAGAACACTTGCCATAGGTCAGAGGGCATAGACCACAGAACACTTGCCGTAGGACAGAGGGCATAGACCAAAGAACTCTTGCCATAGGACAGAGGGCATAGAACACAGAACACTTGCCGTAGGACAGAGGTCATAGAACACAGAAAACTTGCTATAGGACAGAGGTCATAGAACACAGAACACTTGCCAAAGGACAGACCACAGATCACTAACATAGACCAAAGATCACTTGCCATAAGACAGAGGGCATAGAACACAGAGCGCTTGCCATAGGACAGAGGGCATAGAACACAGAACACTTGCCATAGGGGAAAAAACATAGAACACAGAGCACTTGTCATAGGAGAGAGGGCATAGACCACAGAGCACTTGCCGTAGGACAGAAAACATAGAACAGAGAGCACTTGCCATAGGACAGAAAACATAGAACACAGCCCTTGCCATAGGAAAGAGGGCCTAGACCACAGAGCGCTTGCCATAGGACAGAGGGCCTAGACCACAGAGCGCTTGCCATAGGACAGAGGGCATAGAACACAGAGTTCTCAGTCACGTATGATGTCACGTGTGTATCTGGTAACCTATCTTGTGCCGTGGGGCCCAACGCTCGCAACCACACATGCTTTAATGTGTGGCTTGACGTTCGCAGTCACTTATGCTGTGATGTGTGGCTTTGCGTTGTCTGGTCTTAGTGCGCTGATGTCAGTGCTGCAAGGGCTTGCCACTCACGCTGTTGTCACAGGTTGTCCCTCTCCAGGAGCACACTCCCTAAAGTCCCTTAACGCTGAGTCCTCTCGAGCAGTATGGCATTAGAGCGAATATCTATCCACATTTAGCAGAACGCAAGCAATATATGAAGACGGGACCACCCCAAATGGTCAAGGGAAGCGATTCTTGGTGTGTATGTTGTGCATTATGGTCCAAAGTATTGAGTGTGTGTGTGGGGGAGGTGTGTGTGCGGGTGGGAGGGGGGTGGGGGTGGGTGGGTGGGTGTTAGCCTGGTGGTTAAAGCGTTCGCTCGTCAGGCTGGTGAAGACCCGGATTCGTTCCCCTCATGGGCACAATGTTAGAAACCACACTCACTCACTCACTAAACATAGGGTTCGGACCAGTTCCAAGTGAACGTACATTGTTTGATATAGTCAAATGATATAAAACCATTTGATTCACTAACTCAGGACAGTTTACTAATTATTTTGAGCATAGATTTTCGAATACAGTTTTTTTAAACTCTCGTTTGGTCATAGTGTTATAAGTCAACGTCACGTATTTGATCCTAAAAATGAAGAACGAAGGATGGTTTTTCACACAAGTAGCATGCTCCGGAATGAGACAGCGATGTTTGTAATGGTGATATTGGCCTGCAGATTACGACATCTGTCGCGAGGATACATGCTCATGATGTCAATCACTGGATTGTCTGATCCAGACTCGATTATTTCCAGACCGCCGTCATATAGCTGGAATATTGCTGAGTGCGGCGAAAAACAACAAACAAACAAATACAAATATTAAGCACCTGAAGCACAATGATCAGCTGCCATCATTAAACAGTCGTTAATATAAATACACGAATCAGGCGGCTATCAATAGCCCTTTATGTCGAAATACACGCTTATCACAAGACCCGTTACCTTAAAACACACGGTTATCACAAGCACCGTTATCTTATCCTTATCTTATCCTTATCTTGAGCACAGTTCTGTCGAGAAAAGCGGTTAACACATGTTCCTATACGTTGGAACAAGCAGTAATCGCATGTCTCTTATGTCAAAAAACGGTTCAAGTATATAAAACCTGCTATCTCCAGCGTAGTTGAAGCATACATCTATTATATACCAGGCTCACATTTAACTCAACACAACTCCTGGTATATCTGAAACACAACGCTGTGTAAAGGAGGCTATTTCGAAACAAACGGTTATCTAACAGTCATCTCTCCGCCTTGATCGCGGTCTAAAACAATAAAATATCGCATGTATGACAGGCAAATTGCCCAAGGCGTGCATTAGCTGTAAGCCATTTATATTTTTCTCATTCTGCGTGTAGAAATGTTGACAAGAGCTGATTTGGGTAGATTAACGAATTTGACTTACATTTGTTTTTGTTATCAATAATTTGTTTAGTCATGGTGATGTACAGAATGAACTGCATAAAATGTCATTGAACACGTCAACAGCAATATAGGGATTTATGAAATCACTTGTGATTATATTTAGTGAATTCATGAAATCCCTGAATATTTTAGAGAGTATATGAATTCCCTTACCAAAACAGGGTTTTCATTTAATTACTGAGCTGCTCCGTGGGTTTCATGGAATCCCTATTTTCACAATCTTACTGTTTCATATGTACTTCAAAGTGGCTTCAGCTCTCTCATGGGCTCCCACTGGAAAAGCGCGGTCGTGAAACCGAACGGTGAAAGACACGGAATCGGATCGTTGAAGTAATATGACTGATTCTATTAGTTTTAGAAAGATGTTATTTGCATTAAATTACACCGCCCCAAGGTACAATAAAATACAATTATTATCGTATAGAAGGAAGAATTATTCTCTTTTGGGGTAAAATGAAACATTCTTTAACAAATCGATTTTGAGGAAATTCATTTTCACTACGCAAACATCATTACAGCTACAATTCAACCAACATAATAAGAATTGAGCATTTCAGCTTTAATAAAATCTTTAAAAACATACAATTTATTTTCTATTTAGCATAACACGTTTCAAAATGAATTACATTGTTAAAAATATCTGTGCTTCCAATTTAATTTTCCAGAACCCCAGATCCATAAAAGAGCTGAATTTCCCCCCAAAAGGTGTTCTAATCTGATTGGTCGGAAAATGAAATGTATTCCGCTCGAAGTATTTCAATTTGGAACCTGTTTCAGGTACGGTGTTCAGTAAAAGGTTTTAAGTGAACGGCTGGATCAGGCAATCACTGCAGCTACATGACAATATATACGCTGTAAAGATATTAATTCGCACTGACGGAAACCGGCTAAGGACTCGCGTGCACCAGTTGACATCTGGCTAAGGTCTGCATGCGCAACATGGCTTTTGAGAATACGCTAATCTGATTGGTCAGCTAGATATTCCTGTCGTGACCCGGTAGTGTTGGTTGGCGCACCTTGTAATGCTTCTTAGTGATCACGTGATGTCTGAACTATCTCTTCACTAACATTGCAACATGCAAGCCTACAAATAACCCTGGAGGTATCAGCATGCTTGGAAAGAACAATTCTCTCATTTTCCTAACCCCGATTATCCAGAGTAATATATCTCCCATCTAATTAAACATAGTGAAACAGATATATGATACGCTGGATAATCGAGAATATTATTCTTTAGATTTTGAAGAATTATTTGTTGTTGCTCATTGAGTCAGAATGTTTTGGCGTGCAAATGCTAAATTTTGAGGATAAACGTTTCCGCTAACGTTAATTCTACACGTGATGTAAGTGAAACGCAAAACAGCGTTTTATAATTAAAAGGAATTTCTTTAGTGTGTTCCTCTTTTGGTTGGTTGTTATAGTTACCTGATCTTTATTTAATTTACAGGTTGACCCACCCAGCAGTGTCAAAATTATCGTTGATGAGTTGATGTTGTTGTTTCCTTGTTACATTTCTTTTCCCCTTCGCGAACACCTGGTGTCACAACTGATTTTCTGTGGTCCATTTATATAACTTTTACAGCTATTTAGCCCTTCACGCCATATGGAATCTGCTTTGGTGGATAATCTAGAGTCGTTATTTTCTTGCATTGACAATCTATATTTTAAGAAGATATCTGGGTTGGATCACAATAATCAAACTGTTATATACTTAAAATGTGTTATGTACAGAGCGCGGTAAGGATATTTCGTGATATCTGTTTTAGATATGTTGCACGGACCTGCTTGTGTTTGTGTTTGATAAGCTTATGAGTGTTAAGAAAATTAAGTACAGTAAACTACGGTTATAACGAATTAAAAGGGATAACTAATTTTAATTCGTTATAACCGTAGTTCGTTATAAGCATATGTACACAATCTATACAGAAAATGGACGGCACCAAGAAACAGTTCGTTATATCCGACAGTTCGTTATAAGCGTGTTCGTTATAAACGTAGTTTACTGTACTGCAATATGATTGCTTACATTTTAATTTCTTTAGCTACGGCCCAGAGTGCCGTTGTACAAAGCGATCTTAGCGCTAAGATGATCGTAACTCCCATACTTTAACATAGACCTACGACAGTCGTAGAGCTAAGGTTGTTCTGTACAACGGCACCCTTCTTATCAACTCTTGTGTTTCCTTCACAGTCAGGTGATCAATAGACTAGACTTTAATCTCTGTTACGCAACCTGTTTCTTCATCTCTGAAAGGAAATGGCAATGTCTGATCCTATCAAGCGTCAGCCTATCAAATGGACACATTTAACATGTCTAAGAATCAATATGGTCTGTTGGTACTGTCACGCTCCATCCCATAACCATCGTAAGTGTCTCTGTGCCAGGGAGTCATTTCGTGGGTCAACTGTGTCAAATCCGAGATTGTGTCTTAAGACCGCGGTAAGCTAGGAGTGTTCCGAATGAATGTGACAGGAGTGTTCCGATTGAATGTGCCAGCCAGATAAGTGCACGAGTACTCTGAAGTAGGTTCTGCATTACTACAGTTTGTAAATGATTCAGCTCCCCCGTCAAACTATTGATTAAAGATTAATGTCTCAGTCGGGATGATGGGGAACATGTTTTAATGTTTCCAGCCCTCGGTACCACACCATGCACCCCGCTACCACGACATCACGAAACCACGACACCATGCACCCCGCCACCACAAAACAAGGCACCCCGCCGCCACGCCACCCACCACCACGACACCATTCACCCTGCCACCACGCCAACCGATACAACGACACCACGACACCATGCACCCTGCCATCACGACACCCACCACCACGACACCATGCACCCTGCAACCACGCCAACCGACACCACGACACCACGACACCATGCACCCTGCCATCACGACACCCACCACCACGACACCATGCACCCTGCAACCACGCCAACCGACACCACGACACCATGCACCCCGCCATCACGACACCCACCACCACGACACCATGCACCCCGTCACCACGCAAACCGATACCACGACACCACGACACCACGACACCATGCACCTCGCCATCACGACACATACCACCACGACACCATGCACCCCGCCAACACGACAACCGATACCACGACACCATGACACCATGCACCCTGCCACCAAGCCAACCGATACCACGCCACCCGATACCAAGACACCATGACAACAGGCACCCCACCACACCGACACCCAGCACCCCACCACCACGACAACAGGCACCCCACACCACTACAACAGGCACCACGACACCACTACCACAGGCACCCCACCACCACGACACCCAGCACCCCACCACCACGACACCCAGCACCCCACCACCACGACAACAGGCACCACGACACCACTACAACAGGCACCCCACACCACTACAACAGGCACCCCACACCACTACAACAGGCATCCCACACCACTACAACAGGCACCACGACACCACAACACCCGGCACCCCACACCACTACAACAGGCACCACGACACCTCTCACCTCGCAACCACGACACCTCGCCACCATGACACCTCGCCACCATGACACCTCTCACCTCGCCACCACATTTTCTTCAAGTTTGGGAAGGGCCATCTTATTTAAATGATGTACCTTCCTCAATGGCAACATAGCAATGTGTTGTATGTCTAAGTAACAACAGGCACCCCACACCACTACAACAGGCACCCCACACCACTACAACAGGCACCCCACACCATTACAACAGGCACCCCACACCACTACAACAGGCACCCCACACCACTTCAACAGGCACCCCACACCACTACAACAGGCACCACGACACCACTACAACAGGCACCACGACACCACAACACCCGGCACCCCACACCACTACAACAGGCACCCCACACCACTACAACAGGCACCACGACACCACTACAACAGGCACCACGACACCCAGCACCCCACACCACTACAACAGGCACCCCACACCACTACAACAGGCACCCCACCACCACGACACCAAGCACCCCACACCACTACAACAGGCACCACGACACCACTACAACAGGCACCCCACACCACTACAACAGGCACCCCACACCACTACAACAGGCACCACGACACCACAACACCCGGCAGCCCACACCACTACAACAGGCACCACGACACCACAACACCCGGCACCCCACACCACTACAACAGGCACCACGACACCTCTCACCTCGCAACCACGACACCTCGCCACCATGACACCTCGCCACCATGACACCTCTCACCTCGCCACCACATTTTCTTCAAGTTTGGGAAGGGCCATCTTATTTAAATGATGTACCTTCCTCAATGGCAACATAGCAATGTGTTGTATGTCTAAGTAACAACAGGCACCCCACACCACTACAACAGGCACCCCACACCACTTCAACAGGCACCCCACACCACTACAACAGGCACCACGACACCACTACAACAGGCACCACGACACCACAACACCCGGCACCCCACACCACTACAACAGGCACCCCACACCACTACAACAGGCACCGCGACACCACTACAACAGGCACCCCACACCACTACAATAGGCACCACGACACCACAACACCCGGCACCCCACACCACTACAACAGGCACCTAGACACCACTACAACAGGCACCACGACACCACAACACCCGGCACCCCACACCACTACAACAGGCACCCCACACCACTACAACAGGCACCGCGACACCACTACAACAGGCACCCCACACCACTACAACAGGCACCACGACACCACAACACCCGGCACCCCGCACCACTACAACAGGCACCACGACACCACTACAACAGGCACCACGACACCACAACAACCGGCACCCCACACCACTACAACAGGCACCCCACACCACTACAACAGGCACCGCGACACCACTACAACAGGCACCACGACACCACTACAACAGGCACCACGACACCACAACACCCGGCACCCCTTACCACTACAACAGGCACCACGACACCACTACAACAGGCACCACGACACCACAACACCCGGCACCCCACACCACTACAACAGGCACCACGACACCACTACAACAGGCACCCCACACCACTACAACAGGCACCCCACACAACTACAACAGGCACCACGACACCACAACACCCGGCAGCCCACACCACTACAACAGGCACCCCACACAACTACAACAGGCACCACGACACCACAACACCCGGCACCCCACACCACTACAACAGGCACCACGACACCACTACAACAGGCAGCCCACACCACTACAACAGGCACCACGACACCACAACACCCGGCACCCCACACCACTACAACAGGCACCCCACACCACTACAACAGGCACCACGACACCACAACACCCGGCACCCCACACCACTACAACAGGCACCCCACACAACTACAACAGGCACCACGACACCACAACACCCGGCACCCCACACCACTACAACAGGCACCACGACACCACTACAACAGGCAGCCCACACCACTACAACAGGCACCACGACACCACAACACCCGGCACCCCACACCACTACAACAGGCACCCCACACCACTACAACAGGCACCCCACACCACAACACCCGGCACCCCACACCACTACAACAGGCACCCCACACAACTACAACAGGCGCCACGACACCACAACACCCGGCACCCCACACCACTACAACAGGCACCACGACACCACTACAACAGGCACCCCACACCACTACAACAGGCACCACGACACCACTACAACAGGCACCCCACACCACTACAACAGGCACCACGACACCACAACACCCGGCAGCCCACACCACTACAACAGGCACCCCACACCACTACAACAGGCACCACGACACCAAAACACCCGGCACCCCACACCACTACAACAGGCACCACGACACCACTACAACAGGCACCACGACACCACTACAACAGGCACCACGACACCACTACAACAGGCACCACGACACCACAACACCCGGCACCCCACACCACTACAACAGGCACCCCACACCACTACAACAGGCACCACGACACCAAAACACCCGGCACCCCACACCACTACAACAGGCACCACGACACCACAACACCCGGCACCCCACACCACTACAACAGGCATCCCACTACACTACAACAGGCACCACGACACAACAACACCCGGCACCCCACACCACTACAACAGGCACCACGACACCACAACACTCGGCACCCCACACCACTACAACAGGCACCCCACACAACTACAACAGGCACCACGACACCACAACACCCGGCAGCCCACACCACTACAACAGGCAGCCCACACCACTACAACAGGCACCCCACACCACTACAACAGGCACCACGACACCACAACACCCGGCAGCCCACACCACTACAACAGGCACCACGACACACTAACACCCGGCACCCCACACCACTACAACAGGCACCACGACACCTCTCACCTGGCAACCACGACACCTCGCCACCATGACACCTCGCCACCATGACACCTCTCACCTCGCCACCACATTTTCTTCAAGTTTGGGAAGGGCCATCTTATTTAAATGATGTACCTTCCTCAATGGCAACATAGCAATCTGTTTTATGTCTAAGTAACCTAATTTAAAGACACGTGGTGGGGATATGTCCACATGCATGCATAAAGTCTATGTAAAAAAGTTTGTTTGTTAGTTGTTTAACGCCGCACTCAATATTCAAGCTATATGACGCCTGTCTGTAACTAATCGAGTCTGGACCAGGCAATCAAGTGATTGATATCATAAACATCGCTAACGCAGTTGGAATACGATGACATGTATCAACCAAGTCAGCGAGCCTGACCACCCGATCCCGTTAGTCGCCTCTTACGACAAGCATAGTCGTCTTTTACAGCAAGGATTGGTTGCTGAAGACCTATTCTTACCCGGAACTAAACGGGTCGTGTCAAGGAGTAGGATGTGAGACGTGATTGACAGGTCCACACGGTGGGCGTACAATCAGGCAACACTATGTCCAGTGTCTGTGAGGGTGTTAGTTTGAGAAACGATTAATTTACATGAATGAATCTCTGTTTAGAGATGGGTGGCGTATCTCACGAGTAGACTTGGAGTCGCCTGGTATAAAACATCACAACGTGCGTCGTCAAGATCAATCGCGTTCTCGCCAAACAATCAAGCTAGCAATATCATCTCTCTCTCTCTCTCTCTCTCTCTCTCTCTCTCTCTCTCTCTCTCTCTCTCTCTTCCTCCCTCTCTCTCTCTCTCTCTCTCTCTGTCCTCACTTTATACGCAAATAGTCATCACAGGACAATTAGATCTTCCCAATATATTGAACGTTACACAAGATCTTGATTTAGGATAGGATATACATTCTCTACCGCTTTAAAGGGACTGTCTAGATCGAACCAAACTTCAAAAATATTTTTCATATTATTGGATTTTCCACAAAGTCAACATAAATTGTTACATATTCAAAATGAGTGTCGTGTAGTAGCAGACTTAGATATTGTTTTCTATGGAACCCTAAAAGGGACATTGTCGCATTGTCGCGCGTTGGTTAATTTTGACACTTTTTGCTTGTTTGTGTAAGGGCGCAAAAGCGACAATGTCCCTCCTAGGATTCCATAGTTTTCACTTTATTGGACTGGTGCCAAGGTTTTTATAAAGTACAGGATATATGTGGAGATTGTTTCACGACAAGTAAGAAAACGAGTTTGACCAGTGAGGCGTTAGGTTTGATGTTTCAGACACAAAGGCGCTCAATGCGACTGTACCGCGGCTGTGACAAGGGTGCGAGATAACTAATAATTTACAGAATAATTGATTACTCTTCACGTCTTTTTATTTTAATTATCTAAAAGCGTTTCTTCAGATCCAGGAATCAGCTGATCTAGATTTAGAACCAAACAGTCGAGAACAAACACCTCATCAATCAAAGGTTGTCAGAGACAGTTATTTCCAGCCGAGGTCTAGCAGAAGGCCTACGGCGGATCCTGTGGGAGAATAGGCCGAATCCTCACAGCTGAGACTTCGTGCTCTGCCGAGACGGGGTCATCGTGTAGACGGAGATGCTGACGATGTAACGCTGACAATTAACTTGCTGTTGCTGAAGAGGCAGCGAGACAGTTTCTGGGAGACACACACCCACCTCAACAAGCTGGGAATATGATCCACCGTGACAAGAACATATGTTTGATTCCACTTTAAGCCCCTGCAGATCTGGGGTAGAATAGGTCTTCAGCAACCCATGCTTGCCGTAAAAGGCGACTATGCCTGTCGTTAAAGGTGACTAACGGGATCAGGTGGTCAGGCTCGCTTGCTTGGTTGATGCATGTCATCGTATTCCAATTACGTGGATCGATGCTCATGATGTCAATCACTGGCTTGTCTCTGAAAGACTCGATTATTTACAGACTGTAATATTGCTGAGTGCGGCGTTAGACAACAAACACAGATCCCACTTTAGAAGCAGCTTGGGCGGTGAGGTAGCATAGTGGTTAAAGCGTTTGCTAGTCACGCTGAATGCCCTGGTTCGAATCCCATATGGGTACACTGTGTTAAGGACAGTAGGGGGGCCTAGTGGTTAAAGACCTCGCTCGTCTCGCCGAAGGCAATGGTTCAATTCCACCATGGGTACAATGTGTGATATCCCACTTCTGGTGTTCCCAAATCATGATATTGCTGTAATATTGCTAAAAGCGGCAAAAAACATCAATCACTCATATCAATTTCATAAATCTCTCCTTTAGACAATTCGTATCAAAGTAGCAATACGTGGAAAAACTATGGAATCCTAGAATGGACATTGTCGCGTTGTCGCATTATCGCATTGTCACTCTGGTTAATTTCGACACTTTTTGCTTATTTTCTGGTAGGGCGACAATGCGACAATGTCCCTTGTAAGATTCAATAAGATACAGCTTTTTGTGTTCATTATAAAATAATATGTTCCCGTGATGTTTGTAAATCATGTGCTGAGTCAAGTCGGCTATATATCACCAGTAGCTTTATTTAAACGCCCGCTCCAGGGGAGGGGACATAAAACAGCACAATGGTTCACACTACGCTGTTGTATAATTCCTGTTTTAACATGCTCTGTGACAACGTTGTCACTCAGCCCTATGTCAACACACCATACAGTGGCCAGCCAACCACTGAACACATTCATATTTGATAATAGGTATAAAAACATGAATTTAATAAAAACGAATCTCTTCAACCTCTGCTTCCCATCGTCAGCTACTAACTATTTGCAATAAAACGACTCTTTTGTACGCCCTCCTCGTTTTGGGTTTATGTATTCAACAACTTTCAAAATGTCATCAAAACCTGGTTTCATGCACGACCGGTACTGGGTGGAATCAGGCGAGTTTGGTGGTCTTTGGAAGCTGGCGTTTGTTTGATGCTAATAAAACTTCAGCAATCTACGTACAACATTTGACTCCTTATTCGGGTCATCTCATTGAAATTTTAAGCATCTCATAACTTTAAAAATATTCAGTGTGGGACAGACTGGTACATACCGATGAGATGATAAGGACCGATGGGATAGTCTACTGGTTTAAGCGTTCGCTCGTCAGGTCGATGGTCTGGGTTCGATTTTTCAAATATGTGGAGTTCATTTCAGATATCCCCGACCCTGATGTTGCTGGGAAAGTGCTAAAAGCGGTATAAAATCAAACACACTCACTCACTCACTGTCCAGGTTATCAGTGTACAGTCTGGCGTTCATGTGAGTTGGGTTTAACGCCGCTTTTAACAATATTCCAGTCATCTCACGGCGTGTCAGCTTAATGTGGGAGGAAAGCCCGAAGTGATGCAGGTCTCAGACGTTTACCACTTAGATGAAACCCACGAGCACGTGTATGGTGCTGAATCATAGAAACATCATCGGGGAGAACTGGGATTCGAACCCACAACCATAGGTTTCTGGCGTGCCCAAGGAACGCAACTCTGCAGAGCGAATTGCGGCGCCATAGACGACTGGGTCACACGTGCCACCACGTAGTGGAGTATTCCCCAGGTAATAAGAAACACGATGCTGTCCACGGATCAGGATTGTTTTGTTTGGGGTTTTGTTTTTGTTATTGTTTAACGCCGCACTCAGCAACATTCCAGCCATACGACGGCGGTCTGCAAATAATCGAGTCTGGGACAGATAAACCAGTGATTGACATCGATCCACGCAATTGGGATTCGATGACATGAATCAACCAACATGAGCCTGACCACCCAATCGCGTTAGTCGCCTCTTAAGACAAGCATAGTCGCTGAAGACCTATTCCACCCCGATCTTAACGGGTCTCGCAAATCACGATGCCATGATTAGTGAGTGAGTTGGTTTCATCTGCGTATAACAATATTCCAGTAATATGAACCCATCTGTGGAATCGAAACTGGGGCTACGAGCGACAAGCGAACACTTTAACCACTAGGCTACCCCATTGTCCCTGTCCATGATTAAATGTCCACAGACAGACGTCCCTACAACGTAACTTTGTAGTTTCTTTCTTGTTTTCCGAGAAGATTTAAGTCACTATGTGAGTCCTCTGAGCAGGATGTGCCTTCATATGAGTGGAAACAACGACGACTCCATGTGACATACCCAGGTGTCTGGTGAATTATTTGTATTGTCGTTCCTTCATTTGTTCACTTCTTCTCTCACTCACAAATACCAATGATTCACTCGTAAAACCAGTTTCATTGACTAGAACACTACCTACATTCATTCATTCATCCAGTCAATCATTCTGTCGGTGAATCCATCACTTGGCCCATCTCATCATTCAGATAGCCATATATTCACTCATTTATCCACAAGCTATATTCATTCATTCATTCATTCATTCATTCATTCATTCATTCATTCATTCATTCATTCATTCCTAAGCTTCATTCAAGCCTCCACATCCAGTCTACGCCAGCCCTCTATCGATCCATTCATAATCACACTCATTCAATCGCCAGCCATTACGTTACGATACACCCATGAACGAGAACAGAATCCCACAAATCATCATTCTTACTTTGGTTCCGCGGAAACAACAATGATCATTCCGAAAATCATTTCTAAAAATAGTAATCTGTGTCTGGTCACGTTGTACAGGTCACGGCGACCAGCCCATGACCTCAACTGCCCGAATCGATACTGAGAGTGGTGCTACACGTGACGAAGGGTCAATTCTCTTCAAGTCCACCCACTAGAACAAACAGGTGCCCCCGAACTGTAGGCACTCAGTGGGTGTGCTTTGAAGGGGTCCTCAGTGAAAAGTAATAACGTTATGAGCTGTGTGTCACTTTTGGCATGTCATGGGATTTAAGGTCAGTTAATACCACTCTGGCTTGTATTCACAAAAAAAACATCATTCTCAAATAACTGATGAATTACTCTTCAATCAGCCTTACGCCCTGTTCAGAGGGAGCACTTCTCATAAAGGAGACCATGATGACAGACAGACAGACAGACAGACAGACAGACAGGCAGAAAGACAGTTTATTTGTATATATGG